GAGCCTTCCAGTTGACAACAGAGGAGGCACGTGCAACCCCTGATGTGCTTACGGGTATGTATCTTCTCCATTATCTCTTTATTATTTATGATTATTACTCATGTTTGTGTGTTTGTGTATATGATCGTTCTTAGTGAACGACATATCAACTATGGTATTGTTTGAATCGGGGGCTACCTGATCTTTTGTGTCGCTCGCACTTAGCAAGCGATTGAGTAGAGCTACGGGGGAGCTGAATTGCCCACTTGATGTAGAGATAGCAGATGATAGGACCGTCAGGGTTGCGAGGGTTCATAGAGGATGTACGCTACAATTATTCGATCAGTAGTTTTCAGTAGATCTGATTCCTATTCCCCTGCGTGGGAATAAGGTTATAGTGGGTATGGATTGGTTGAGCTCCAATGGGGTAGTGATTAACTTTGAGCAACAACTAGGTGGCGACATAATCTACAACTTTCGCTTAGACTCCGTCGACTAACTTTGACTTTATTTTTAAAGTTATATTTTAACAGACTTAGACAGGTAAAGTCCGTTAAAAATTCATAACTTTGTCATCCGACGTCCGTTTTCGTCTGTCTTTATATCGTTGAGCTCCTATTAACGAGATATTCGATTCTCGTTTAGATTGTGTCGGCTAAAAATCGGTCGATCTAAAATTCGAATTTCGGGTTGTGCACTCCTATGTTAAATCTTAGAGTAATCATAACTTCCTCATACGAAGTCAGATTTGGACGTTCTTTTTATGTACGCTCTCGGTTTAACGTATACTACAACTTTCGTTTAGATCACTAAGGCTAAAAAGTATTTTATCGCAAACTCACTTTTTACGATTCTCCGTGTCGTGTCGGTTTTGCCGCAAAACATCGACATATCATAATTTATTCGTTATAAGTCGGATTTTAGCATTCCTTATATTCCCGAAATCCTTGTTACGACTACTTGAACTTTCTTCATAGATATTGAGTCTATCTATCATTTTATTTTTGACGCTTATTTTTATTATTATTTTATTACATCGTTAATAGCAAGTATAATGCACATAAAATCACATAATTCATATAATACTCAAATAGTTCCTCTTCATTACTTCGAAATAGGTTACACTTGTTGACCATAACTATTACATCGTTATAATAATGCTTAGCCTAGAAACACGAGCGTTACATATATGGAACAAAAACCAGAAAAATACCCTAATTATAGATCTCCGGAATATCAATCCGGAATGTACGACCGTTCCGGACTGTAGACTGAAATACACTTTATTAGTCAAGAACGTACGAGTGTCAGATTTTGGACCAAAATCCCACCAACCAACACCAACTCTAAAACAACATCATAAATACTATGGAATATCGTATTACAGATACGAAGTCCGAAATGAAATTACGCATTCCAGAATATGATATTCCGGAGTATATGGTCATTTTTACAAAAAATATGATATTCCGGAGTATGTGGTCATTTTTACAAAAAATAAATAAATTGAAGTGATTATTTTTATTAACAACCATGTTTATAAGGGTTAGATTATTCAATTTCCCATTAATTAAATAAGTATCCAAGAATAGAAAATACACCCCAAATTAATATTATCTAACCTTGAGGATTTTACATCAACTCAATCCTACGAAATCCGCTTCAATATGTATCAACATATTTTTTTAATTACAAACTCTATAATTATTTATTTGATAACATCCACTTGCAATTATCAAATATACAAGGTGCAAAGTATATGTAAAAGGGGTCTTTGCACCATCATTATTTGATACATCACCTTTGGCTCTTCTATGTTGACCTTTTAAATACATTTTAAAATAAAAAAATATTTTTAATTAGTTTGTAATTAAAATATTACTATATGGTGTGTTTGAATTGTTTATATGTTTTTAAATAAAGTTACCATTTGTTTTTAATTATTATACGAATTAGGGGTAGTTTTCATGGCAAACAAATAGTCCATTGAAGATTTTATTATTGTTGGTTGTCCAATTGAGACCCTAACTTGCAAGTTAACCTACCTATGAACCACCATAAACATCCATTGTGTTGCTTTCATTTTCTTTTTGGCATAAGCCTAAAATATTCATAATTTGGAAAAAAAATTTACTTTGTTTTCGGTTATTTTTTATTAGGGTACAAGATTTGTTACCAAATAAAGTTGTGAATATCTCATATGAGGTTCATGCGATGAGCCGATGACCATTGATATATGCATTTGAATATGTAATTTTTAAAAAATTGAAATAAAATGATAACTCTACCTATTTTGTCTTAATATTTATTAAAAATATTAGCAATTATTTTCTTGAACTATTATTTTTTAATAATCACTTTATTTGTTTTATCAAATAACTATAAACATGTGTTCATATATACAAATACATCTAAGTCTTATACGATAATGGATCATGATTCAAACATGAATTATTTCTAGAAAATAATTTGTTGAACAACGTTCACCTAAACAACATTTCAAGTTAATCATATGAAAAAAAAAATTCAAACATATAAAAAATAAATACTTTAATATTCTAATGAAATTGTATTATAATCATCATATTTCAAAGATAAGATGATTTCATATATTCAATTATGTTTTTACTCTCACTTGAAAATTGTGTTTTCACTTTTTGATCTTAATACAAAAAAAAGAAAACATGTCTACACGCTATACCAAGTACCGATAGTAACAATGGAGTTTTATATTTGTATAAATTGGTTTTTAAACACAATCAACATACATTAAGTTATGCAATTACATGTGATTTGTTTGAATGTTTATATGAATTAAATGACCATGGGAATTATAAAATGTAATCATTTAATTATATAAGTTCAAATCATATTAATTAAATAATTGCATTTTCATTTCTGTTTTTTTTCCCTTATGACATTTTACTCTTTGGTTTTGCCTGTTACCTCAAGTACTTTTAACTTAAATGACTATTAAAATTATAATAACGTTATCATTTAGCCATCTAAGTTCAAATTATCATCATTTAGTTATTTACCAAATGATAACCGTACATCAAGTTGACGAAGTTATATAATTTGGTAAATGATTAAATGTAACTAAGTTGTAAGAATTTATGTAATTTGGCTATATCGTCACCATTTTAAGTATTGGATAAGATGAACATTTCATACTGAATTTATCATAACTAATAGCCTTAGACCACTGACAATGTAACTAAGTTGTAAAATTTTACATGTCATGTATATTATTAAATTGCTTGCCTTAAGTTGTTTTTTCTGTAGGTAAAATCTGTCATTTATACATATAAGTTGATATAACTTCTAAATATTTATAAGAAATGGAGTTTCCCTTCTCATATTATTAAATTTTTTTTGTTTTAGGGATACATAGGATAATAGTATTTGTTGAATTTATGGATCATTGAATCCCTTACATGTCCACAAACATTAGTTCTGACTTGTATGTGATATTAAAAAGTATACCACCTCTAAGTACAAATGTTTACTTGTTGATTTGTGTTATATTACTTCATCATAAACTTGCATTGATTATGTATACATGATAATTAAATTCACATACATACATTGAATAGTCAAAATGCAATACCAAACCTTGATAGCCCTGTAAGTTTGATATATATATATATATATATATATATATATATATATATATATATATATATATATATATGCGTGTGTGTATGTATGTGTGTACGTGTCGATGCTTAATGATTAATGCATTTCAATTAAAGTTATTAGTTAAAATTAAGTGGTATTGAAAGCTTGAAGTATATAACTATGAGAGTGTTTGTCTTTCCTTTTTAAATAACTTTTTAAATGACTTTTGAGACTTTTGACTTTTTCAAAAAGTCAAAAGTTTAAAAAGATGTTTGGTAACTTCAAAAGATCTTTTAAATTAGCTTTTTGAGAAGAATAAAAATGAGGGGTTAAGAAGTCATGAATATGTGACTTTTAGCAACTTTTGCATTTTTTCCCTTTGCCCCTCAAAAGTTTATACAAACACATTTTAAAACTATCTTTTGGAAAAAGACATGAATCAAAAAGTCATTTTCTAAAAAGGACTTTTTAATTTAAAAAACTATCCCAAACACCCCTATAACTAATACATCTATCCACCTTATTCAACCATCTAGCTTAACTAATACATCTATCCACCTTATTCAACCATCTAGCTTGCATGATCATTGTTGTCCTAAACATGGAAACCATTATATATGAATGCGAAATCATCATGAACCCAAAGATGTACACTGAATCCGATACCATATCTTACAATCCACTTCCTAATGACATGTCCCACAACACACCAACATTCTATAACAACTACTCATATACCACAAACATGGCAAAACCGAACTATGGAGAGGGAAATACGCAAAAAGCGTAGTGACAATGCAATGGTAGGTTTTGCTTCAGTGATGGACTTCACTCTCGATTTCTTATCATTTTTAGACTTCATTTAACCATCTTTTTCAGAATTTTCACTTATTATTGTTCATTTTTTCTATTTTTTGAAACTTTACTTTATGTTCCTAATAAGTACAAGTTAAAGAGTGAAATGGAGAGAAGTTGATGGAGCCCAGAAAGAAAGGTTAAAATTTTTTGATGTCATTGATTTTTAACTTTCATTTCAATTTGAAAGGATTTAAAAAAAATGATCTTGAAAATAAAACTTGAATGTAATCTTTTTTTCCTTTATTTCCACTCCGAACACATAAAATATTCATTTGCCTTTCATTTATTTTTAATCCGGATCTTTTTATTTTTCTTCTTTTATTTTCTCTCTCTTCACTTTTTTGGTGATATTTTTTTTTATTGTTTGTTATTATTATTTTTTCTACTTTCATAAGGCCAAGATAAAGAAGTGACTGAAATCGGAAAACTAATAAAATAAAAAATAAAGAGAAAAAGCACATGGACAGCATATATATTTTTGTAATAAATTGCATAAAAATGGGTAAATATAAATACGGAAAACGATTGCGGTTAAAGCCAAAATTGTAGAAATAAGTAGACAACGAGGGTTTTCATTTTCATCAGAATCTCTTTGTTTCTCTCAAAATAATTTATCTTCTCTTTTATTGGAAAATATTTAGATCGATTTTACCATCTCCAAGGCTCCGATCAACCCTCATTAGGGTATGTCCTTCATCAATCTACACCCAATTTCCCCCAATTTGTCTTTAATTTGTTTGTAGAATCTGATTTTAAGTATTTTTAGTAGATAAAAAAACAAAACCATAAAATTGATGTTGTTCGAACATACATGGATCATCATTGCTTGAGGGAAAAGGGTTTTTCCTTGGGGATTATAAATGTGTTGATGATCGTCTTTCTTGGTAGGGCTTTTTCTGTTGAAGGGGCTTTAAATTGGTAACTTAATACAAGCTCTGGAGTCCGTTGATGATAAAAAGGTACAGTTTTTTCGATGATTTGTGTTTTATTTTGATTTTTCGAACTGGGTTTTGTGGGAAATTATGCTGTTTGTTGACTTGTTTTGAGAATTTTTTATTTGTCGATGGAAGTTGTTTGATTTTGCTTATTCGAACTGGAAAATTTTCATTAGCAGGATTAAAACGGAATTAAAAACAACGAAACAAAATTAAACCCAGAAAATGCATTTGTTTACCCAAATGCCGATTGCTAGGTAAAAAAAAAAAACGAAAAAGGCACCTTCTTTTGTCAAATGCTGATTGCAAGATTATACTTGTGGTCTTTCATGTTTCTTGTTATTAAAAGATGCGTGAAAAATTGGGGCAATTCTTGATTATGGTTGAATTCCTGCTTAATTTTATCAGGCAACGAAATTTTTATAGGGTTTGAACCTATGGCATTGTGAAAAGAAAGGAGAAGCTTGTAGGGTTTCTTTCAATCTTTTATAGAATTCCTTATGTTATCATGTATGCCTTTAAGTAATGATCAAAAACTGCGATTGTGGTGTTAAATCACTCGGGTATTGAAATGTACATCAAAATTATGAAATCACTCTCTTGATTTGGAACAAAGAGAGCTTATGTGTTTTTTCTTTTTCATGTTTTGTGTTATTCGTAAAGTTAAACGAGTATATACTATTTAGGGTTTTATTATATACTATTTATCACTCGTAGCAATTTCTTTTCCTTGTTCCATGTTTAGCAACTATTGGCCAAATTTCTCCGCGTATAAAGGTTATATTATACCTATTGTTAATTTAAAAAGCTTGTGCTCTTGTTCTTTTGTCGATTTGTGTAGCTTCCATTTCTATGTCTTGTTTTGGATTATATCCGGAGTCAAAAGCACTCTCATGTTTTTTCTTATTGGTACTGTTTTGACTGTTTTTTTTTTTTTTTTTTTTTAATGATTTTGAAAATGCACTACAAAAATGCATTTAAGTGATAAAGAGTTGCAGTTTCTACTTTTTTCCATCTAAATCAAAGGTGTTGTTTCTTTATGCATTAGTGGACTTAAAACACTTAATGGGGAGATGACTTAATATGGTAATCTGTATATGGGTGTTTTTTCTAGACTAAAAGCAAAATGAACGACTTAATAGAGAACATCAGAAAAAGAGACTTTCCATGAAGTTATAACTCTTTATCAGATATATTTTAAACATCATTTATCTAAACATACTTAATGTGAAAAAAAGAAACATACCCACCCTCTATGTACTATGCCTAGAAGGTGAACGGTGGAAGGTACTCTAATAGTTAGCATAAACTTAAATACTTAATAGAGGAAAAGAATGGTGAAATTTAGCATTTGTTTCAACTTGTATAACCTTTTTATAAGGTGTGTGGTGTCATATTAGTTAACTAAACTTGTGATGTAGTGAGCCTTCAAGAATATTTCAATTTTCAAGCATCATATGTAATACATTGCCTGTCGGTGTATTATTTAACTTAGGTTATTAGAGTTCCAAAAGGTGCAATTTTATAAATTCTTATGCACCACGTAACATGGTTCAATGGTTGCAAATACAGAGTGCCATATTAGGGTTAGGCTATTAATGCTTTTCATGTAGTCCCCTCAGTTTCGCCTTCTAAAATTTACTTTCTGTTTTTTGTGAGATTCCACTTTTTAAACACTCCTAAATGTACATATCCACATGTGTTCAGATCCTATAATGTATGTTTTTGTATATAATAAAACCCTCTAAAAGGGTGTTCTTTTTGACTTAATGAACTTAGTAGGGGCATGGCCTAAAGTGTTTCTTTTTGACCTAATGCAGAAAGAACGACTTCCTATAGAAAGTCTTTACAAGGAAGCTTTTTCCTCATTACCTCCTATTTTTTTTTTTACAAATTTGCCCTCATATTCTCAAATATTTTTTAGACATCATTTATCCAGACAACATTCACTCGAAAAAAAAGTAACAGGGTCTAATTTTGTTTTCGATTATAACAGCCTAAATGGTGACAAAAAACTAATTCTTGTCATCTTCTTTAAATGTTTATTGATTGTTCATTAATCGTTATAAAGTCTATACAAAACATTCTTCCAGGGTTTCTTAGGTTAACTAAAAAGTTTGTATTTTTTTTTTAAATTTTCAGGATTTTCTTGCAAATCATAACTCAAGAACATGGGACAACGAAACATGGTTTATACGGGTCCAATACTTGAAACAGAACATGGTCATCTTCATCCAGAAGCTTATGGTGGAATCCCAAGCTTCAACCCTCAACGCCTGCCCGAAAACCATACAATATTACCACCACTGCCCGGAAACAGAACTAGTTTCAACCCTCAACACCTGCCCGAAAATCATGCCCCCCTGCCCCACACAATGACTCAATACGATCATCATCCTCATAATGTATACATGACACCTCCTGGTGCTAGAATCTTTCCAGTTGCCATCAATCATGGGATTCCAGATCAGATTCCATTTTCCATTCGTGGAAGGAATGATGGTCAGTTTATGGATGGAATTGGAATTAATGGTGCATTTAAGAGAAAGAATGCAGAAGGGTTTCCAGGGAATATTCACTACTTTTATCCAGCAGCAGCAGCTGGGCCGAGTTCTTCGGTTGCGATTCCGATGAACACAGAGGGGGGAATGATGGATGGCGGTTCTGGTTCTGGTTCGTTTGGGATTCCGGAGTTTAGAGGGGGGAATAGAGGAGGTTCTGGTGGAATTGGGGTTGACCCTGTTTTGGCTCATAGTAGTGGGCATTTGATTCCAGGGAATTATGGTGTGCCTGCACCATGGTTAGATCAGCAGTTTTGTGGGAATGGTGGTGATTCCATTTCCGGTGCTTTTTCATGGAATCATGCTCCCGGTTTACCTTATCTTCAAGGTATTGTTTAGATGTTCATTCAAATGACCCCTAATTTGTATTTAGTGTGAGAATCGCAAGAATTTACCTTTGGGAATGATCTAATCACAAGATTTCCATTTTTGGTGACTTTTAAAATTATTTACTTGCCATGTATTACTATCACAAAGCATTGAGGTATGGTTTGGTATGCTGGAATCGGAGAAGGAATGGAATGATTAATTTGCATCGGAATGGAAAAAAAAAATGTTTGTTGTGCTTGATGGAAGAGAAGGAATCTGATCCCTTTCATTTTGTTAATTTTCATTCCAAATTGGGAAATTGTTATATAACCCCATTTTATTTCTAAAATTTTAATGACATGAATCTCTTTTATGAATTTCATGATTTTAATTAAATTATAATTTTATTATTTAAAAATTAATAATCTTATTTGGGTGATTGGGTCTTAATGAACTTTAAGTTTATAGTTTTGTAAATAGCAAATTCTGTAATTATACTGTAATTTTGTCTTACATAGATCATTTCTGTAATTTCAGTATCACACAGGGACCATTTCTGTAACTGCAGTATTATAGGGATCATTCTATAATATCGCTATTACATATGGACCATTTCTGTATATTTTTCTTACACAGGGACCATCACTGTAATTTCGCTATTACAAAGGGGTCATCTCTGTAATTTTGTCTTACATAGAGACCTTTACATAATTTTTACACAGGGACCATTTGTGTAATTTTCCCAAACATAGGGACCACCAGACGATTTTGCAGCGACCATTTCTGTAATTTTCTTAAACATATGCATCACTAGATAATTTTGCAGCGACAATTTCTGTAAATTTCTCGAACATAGGGGCCATTAGATAATTTTGCAAGGATCATTTCTGTAATTTTCTCAAACATGAAGACTATTAGACAATATGGCATGACTTCTTTAATTTGCCTGTAAAGTAGTTATATTTGATAATGATAATGTATAGAGCAGTTTTAAAACTATACCTTGTATTCATTTCACAATCACATATAATATAAAAAATTCATTCCATTCCTAGTTTCCTACAGGCCAACCAAACACTATCATGGAATGTAATGACCCATTCCATTCCATTCCATTACCTTTTCCATTCCATTTCCATCCAACCAAACAGAACCCCACCCTGATAAAACATTCCAATTAAATCAATCCAATTTTAAATTTTTGTTTAATGCAGGACATATGAACGAGGCTGCAAACATCGGATTACATGGATATGGAAACAGGAATTCGGGAGCTTTTGTGCATGGACCCCACAATCTCCACCACCCACCACCGCCACCAATGCCGCCAATGCAAGGCCACAATATGAATATGGAGTTCCATTCTCAGTTAGCATCAACATCACTCAGACTTCCGGCAAACACCGCCACCATAAATCCTTTTCAAAATGGGATGGAACCACCCGGGCCCGGGCCTAGATTTGTGGGTCCCACACCCACACCGCCAACTGGGCTTAGGGTTTATCGGCCTCACAGACGCGAGTTGATGCTTGAGGCAACTGCAAGGCATCGTGGCTTTCCTCATCTCAGAGTTCTCCCTGAAGATGTATTCTCTCTTATTTCATGCAAATTTCCCTCAAGGGATAATTAGTAATTACTTATTTATGCAAGGGACTGGATTTCTTACCAATTTATGAAGCCGTGTTCTAATTTGTTACCAAGTTTTATATTTATATCTGCTTATGCAACCATATAGGTAAATAATGCATAAGTTGGTAACAAATTGGTAGCAAATTGAAACATGGTTGCATAAATGGTAAGAAATTCACTTTGTTGCATAAAGTGGTAAAAAAGTAACTTGTTTGCATAAATAAGTTTTTCGCATTTATATGCTCCGGTATTAAATAATTCTCCCTCCGTTTCAAAATAAATACAACTATTTGACCGATTCCGGTCTTGTTCTTGGTTGCAAATGAGTATGGAATTGAAGTTTGTTGAAATTCCTAAAAATCCTTGACCATATGATTTCAACATTCCATCCCTCTTGTTAAAAATATTCAAATACACTTTTACTCCTAGAATTTCACAAGTCAATGCCTCTTACCTCTCTTGGTTTCCCGAATTCCATTCCACTTCCTGCCAACCAAATGTGTTACAAAATTCAATTCCCTTCATATTCCAAATCCATCAAATTCCAATTCCTTGGACAGATTTTTTTTTTTCTTTCCAAAAACACTCTACGAACCAAACGCTTGTTATCATTATAAGAGTGTATGTAGTAAATAGTAAACGTTGGATCTAAATTCCAAGAAAAACAAAATCTTGAGTTTGTTACTTTGACTAATTCATTTGTGTTTGACATGTAGGGAGTTGCAATCCTTGATATTTCTGGTTACCATGAAGTAGGACATTCAGTTGACCATCACAGAGATATGCGCCTAGATATCGATCACATGTCATATGAGGCAAGTTGTTAAACAATCTTTTTTTTTTTTTTTTTTTTTTTTTTTTTTTTTTTTCATTCCAAACAATAAAAAAAAGGTTCACATTTCCATCAATGATATAAAGATTATAATTTTTCTTAATGGGACGTTATACATCTAATTCAATTATATACAAAGATATTGTCACGTGATTCTTGCAATATTTTTGTTTCTATTTAGGAACTTCTTGCACTTGGTGAACAAATTGGAAGCGTTGGTTCACGCTTATCAGATGATTTCGTTGTAGAACATCTAAAAACAAGAGTATTTACATCATCCAAATCTTCTAATGATCAAGAACTTAACTCTTGCGTAATTTGTCAGGTATTTCATATCATAAAATAGCAACCTACTTTCACAAATGCTCTTGTATCCATCTACATGTCATATTAGTATATGTTTTATTGTTTGATAAGTAGAAAAAATGAAGGATTTGTGATTTGTGTTTTTTACAGACAAATTATGATGATGGAGAAGAAATAGGGGTGGTAGATTGTGGGCATGAGTACCATGTGGAATGTGTTAAAAAGTGGTTGGTGGTGAAGAACACATGCCCCGTTTGCAAATCAACAGCACTTGCTGGACAACCAAAGGAGTCGGTGTCATGAAAATGAATCCAAGAAATGGAAAGGGAAACATGAGAGCTTGAAAAAGATTCGGGCATCGTGTTTTTCTTTTTATATATATAAATATATATATATTATATAAGAGTAAAATGAGAGAAAGAAAGGTGATGGTGTTGTTTCTCTTGTTATAAATTATGGTAAATATTGAAAACGTGGGTTGGTTGAACCTTTTTGTACAGACTTTTTTTCCTGTTGGTTCACTGGGTGTCTGTCGGTGGATTGGAATGGATGATGATGATGTTGATGGATGATGTTGTTTGGGGGTATGGATGTACTTATGAATGTTAATATCAGGGTGAACATTCTTCATTCAATCTCTCTTTTACTTTTTTTTGCTTTGCTGCTGGTTTTAATAATGCTAACTTTACTTTCCAAGTTCGTTTTGAAAAACAAGAGGATATTATTTACATAACTTAAAAACAAGTTTTAAAGCTTCTCTTTTCTCTTCATGCAGATATATACTTTAGTACTTTACATCAAAAACTCAAGCAAAAACTTGTCATTTTCCCATCTAGCTGGGTGTGTGTACAAAACTTGATTTACACATAAAATTGAAGTTTTATCTGATGTAAAAGTCCTTGTATTTTGCCTGACGGGAAAAAAAAGATAAAAGAATCTAATAAATGTTTCGTAGATTTGAGATTTTATAACAAAAGTCATTTTTTACAAATAAAATATTATTGTTTGACAAAAATTAAAGAATTTTTTAAAAATGTTTTCTTTTTATAATTTTGTTTCAATTTAGTTTTATTACACTACTTTCGTTCCATATTTATTGTCTATTTTTTTAATTTTGAAATCTTTATTGTTCAACTTTGACTTTAAATATTTTTGATTTTGATATATAATACTCGATCCAAAATATATGAATGGATTGTGTTTAAATGTCTTTTCATTGTTATAAGTTTCATCAAGTAATATATATAACACAAATAAAATATTTAAAGTCAAAGTTGAAAAATAAAGACTTCAAAAATAAAAAATGAACAATAAATATGAGACATAAAGAGTATTTTATTATAATCTTATTTTATTCTTTTTATCTAATCAAAAATAATTTCAATGTAATTTCACTGTCTATTTAGATAGCCTCAACGTATTCTCGTTAGTCTTAATTTATGTCTCATCTGTTATCTTATTATAATCTTATTGTATTTTTACTTCTCTAAAAAATAATTATTATATTATAATATAATTATATTCTTTTTTCTAACGTATGATATTATTATCTAACAAAAATATAATTATATATATTCTCAACCTAACAGATGTATTTTGTGTATGATAGAAGGTAACCTTAGTAATTTTTTTTAAATAGGTGTTTTGTTTTGTAATTTTTATATTATTATTTATATTAAATTTTAGAAAGTCATTTAAAAAATTATAATGAGACGATGTGTGTCTGGTAGGTAGAAAAATATAGTAAGACGATGAAATAAGATTATAGAAAGTCATTTAAAAAAACCTTTAAAATTTGATCTTATTTTTTAAAAAGATATCGTATTTTGTTACTAACGGTTGATAAATTTTTTACGGTTTTTACGGGATAATGTCACTGAGGCCTAACAAACTCTGCCGCTTTGTTTTAAAATGTTCCTAATGCTTTTTTTGGTAGTCTAACTTAAAGTCTGTTTTTACCTGCTATTTTAGACCATTAATTGTAATGCCACATAAGCACAATCTAGTACACAGGGATCCTATGTGTAAACTTAGTCAAGTTCACAATATGTTCACGATTTCTGCAAAACGAAGATTCCATGAAACGACCATATATGAGAAGTCAAACCACTAATTGTTGGAGGAGGCTGGGTTCATGATTTTTACTGAAACCACCATATTAGATTCCTTCCACATACAATAACTCCAAAACACAGAGCTCAAAAATTAGATTCTAATATCCAACAAAGTTACCACTTGGAAGAGACATTTAATCTAAAGGTTTGTGTGCAAAAAGTTTTATGTTAAATAATAATATAATTTCTTTACACTGTTCACATGTGTACACATAATGATCCGTAGACAAATTATAAGGGTGGTTGACGGGCCTATATGATAAGGCAAACATTGTTAAATGTTCTTTGCTAAACTTAGGTGGGTGTTGATTTTGACATTTGAGAAAGAGAAGCAAAAAAAAAAAAAAAAGGTTGAACTGGTAAGCGTTTGCAGACATTGTGAACCCAAAAAACCCTAAAGCCCTTAATGTGTGTGTGAAAAACATGAGTTCTTGAGTTTTAGAGAGGACCGGTGGTAGAAGGAGAAGACCGACATGTAATTAAAGAAGAAATGGAAGTGTGGTGTGGCCATATCATTAATGACAAGGCAAGGGTAAGTTCATTTTTCTTAAAATGGTTTTTTTAACATGAGAAAATGGACTTTAAGCCTTTAGACTACCAAAAAAACATTAAGGATCTTTTAAAACAAAAACACATTGACATAGTTTGTCCTTTGTACTTTTTTATAGGCTAAGAGGGTGTTTAGGATAAGTTTTAAAACAACTTTTAGCTTTTAACTTTTTCAAAAAGTTAAAAAAAAAAAACCAAAAGATGTTTGGTAAAGGAAAAAAACTTTTAGAAGTAACTTTTTGTGTAGTAGGAAAAATGATGTTTCAAAAAGTCATGAAAACATATCTTTTTGAGACTTTTGAACCCCTAAAAACCTAAATTATTTTTATACCCTCAACTGCCCTAATCAATTCACCCACATTTACGTTCATCACTCGTTCTCTCTGCTCACCCTCGTTCTCTCCGCTCGTTCACCACTCCGAGGCCATCGGCGATCCTCCTCCAATCAACCAACATTGTCAGAGTCTCCTTCCTCCATCTCTGATAAGGTAAGCTTCACCTCCGATTTGGTTTTCCTTTGTATCGATTTTCGATTTTCATTAGCAAAGAAAATGCCCTTGACGATTTTCGATTTTCCTTCCATTGTATTGATTTGTTCCTTCGATTATCATACCCGTGGTGTTCTGATTTTCGATTATTATACTTGTGTTGCTTCTTCCAATTTGTTTCTTTAGATTCTGACTTTGAGAGTGTATCGATTGTACTGTGTTGATGAAATATTGATTAAATTGATGAGATATTGTGTTAACAGGTATTGATTTGTGAAATTGATCAATTATTGATTTGAAATTAGTGAAATTGATGAAATATGGATGAAATATTGATTAAACTGATGAAATTTTTTTGTTCACAGGACCGATTTGTGTTAACAGGTATCCATTTGGAAATTGTTTCAATTTGTTTCTTCTGATTTGTGTTGTTTCTTCCATTGTTTTTCCATTTTTTCTGTTTTGATTAACTATAATTCATGAAAGATTGATTAGAAATTTGTGAAATTGATGAAATCATTTTGGAAGGTTAATGAAATTGGTTTGTTGTTTAAATGTTTTTTTTAGTCATTTTATATGTAAAAGTTAAACCAAACACTTTTTAAAAACAACTTTTGACTTTTGCCCTCAAAAGCTAATCCAAACACATTTCAAACACCCCCTAAAAAAAACTTCTTTTGTAAAAAATGCTTTGGACTTTTGCCCTCAAAAGATAATCCAAACACATTTTAAAAAAACTTATTTTGTAAAAAGTCGTTTTACAAAAATGACTTTTGAAGTTAAAAAGTAATCCCAAACACCCTCTAAAATCATAAACATTTGCAATTTCTTGTCCTCTTTGTTTGAAAAAAGTAAAAGTCACAACTTAATTCGTAAATAAGCCCAAAGCTTACGACTTTTCTAACAAGAAACCTGCAACGAAATGCAACTTTTATCAATTTATATTTTATACAGTATGTTTCAGTTTGTTAAGGTGTTACCAATTTGTGCCGTAAAATGAATTTATTACCATCAAAATTGGTAAAATTTTGCTGACAAAACTGGATATTTTTGGTTAAAATGTGCGAGTTCATTGCATAACCAACTCAGTAACCCTTTAGACGCTCCACATCGTCAACCCATCACATTTTTTTAAGACGATTTTATAAGATCAAAGATTTTGATGCTCAAGAAACCATCAAAACAAACATCCCAAATTACTTCAATGGAATGTTAAAAACGAAAAATGTTATAAATCTTAAGAACAAGTATCCAAATATATAATACATGATCCGATCCATAGTAGTTAACAAATCAAATAATACAAAAAGACCAGAAAATTTTGAAGTAATACCAGCAGCCTCGTCTACTGAATTTCTTGTTAAAAAAGCTCAAAAACTAACCTGATATCAAACATATCACCAGAAACTTCAAAAATCTTGATCCTCATTCTCCCCCATTTTCATCAACTAGAACAGCAACCAACTTTCTTGACAGCAGAAACATCATCTTTTGATCCAACATTAATTGTTTGCCCTTTAGGCAAAGCCCCAGGATCATTCCCAATATCGAGTGCTTTTCGGCTTACCACATGATATATCTGTGTAAGAACTTCAGTGAAAGAATCCTCCACATTCATGGCCTCAAGAGCAGATGTCTCCATAAAATACGTGTTTTCTTTTTCTGCAAATGTCTTTGCATCTTCTGTGGAAACTGCACGTAAGTGACGCAAGTCTGCTTTGTTTCCTACTAACATTATCACAATGTTTGAGTCACTGTGATCTCTGAGCTCTTTCAACCATCTTTCAACGTTTTCAAAGGTTACATGGCGTGTTGTGTCGTACACAATCAAAGCACCAACAGCTCCTCTGTAGTAAGCACTCGTGATTGCACGATACCTGTAGGCCAGAAATCAGAAAATAGAAAGTGTAATTTGATTCTTACTATGTTCCCCCAATTGTTATTGTAAACCCTAAAAAACCCATAAGTTGAGACAAAACTCTCATTTGATTACCATTTCACTAAGTACGTGATTGAATCGGATTCAATTGAAGCAAGCATAAAGAAAAGAAGGAGGGTAAAATACGAACCTTTCTTGGCCAGCAGTATCCCAAATCTGAGCCTTGATGATCTTCTCATCAACGCGAATACTCCTGGTGGCGAATTCAACACCGATTGTGGATTTAGATTCAAGACTAAACTCGTTCCTAGTGAACCTGGAAAGCAGATTAGATTTTCCGACACCGGAGTCTCCGATGAGAACGACTTTGAAGAGATAATCGTAGTCATCGTCAGCTCTATACGCCGCCATCAGGTTTCAGTTAGTATGATTCAATGAGAGCTTCGGTTGAAGAATGAGTATCAAGTAAACCACTTCAAGTCTTCGATTTTTAAAAGAAGATCAGCAACGAGCAGGGATGATTCATGTAGACGTAAAGAGACGCCGACTCGTCTCGGAGCTGAAGAGATGTTGGACTGGCAAGGGACTGTCAACGAGGGAACTGATTTGCTCTTTTATCTCTGAATTTCATTTTAAAAATGAATAAATAAGAAACTATAAAATATATGTGGTTAAGTGGTTTTCAAAATTGTTGCCCTATCATATCAGGTCAAACTTGAAGAAACTATAAAATTTATGTGGTTTTCAAAATTGTTGCCCCTATGATATCAAGTCAAACTTGGAAGGGGTGTTAACTTTCTTTCCCTCTTTGTACATGTGGTTAGGTTTTTATTGCATTTTTATTGTAATAATTGTCCCACTATTTGCATATTAGTTTTGTATGTAGATGCATACATGCTCATCTTTAACTATGGTATGTCTTTTTTCCCATTTGTCACAATCCTAGTTATTTCTTCTTTGTGGATTGAAAAATTTCTTTCTTGAGGTTTCTGGGCTAATGTTGCATTTGGAAGAGATCATCCATCCCGATTAATTTTTCTTTGTGGATTGATAGATATTTCACTAAGAAATATATTTCTTTCTTGGCTGAAGTTTCTGGGCTCATGTTGCATTTGGAAGAGATCACCCGATATAGTTGTTCACACCTTACCTCCCATTATGTTATGGGACAAAAAACTACTTTTGATGTCAAAAGTAACTCTTTTAAACATACATTCATAGATCTTAGAATCATAACATCACTATGTATGAACCACCCATTGGATTTATGATGTACTACTTTCTCATTTTTTGTTATTTTGTATGAGACAACTTTTAAAGTAGTTTATCTCATTATGAAACTACACTCTTCAAACCCATGAGAGGTGAAACTCTTATTAGATTCACACATACATGTTTCCTTCCTATCCATCTAAAAACAAAAACATCAACAAGTGTAATAATGTAAGAGTAGATTTGTCTTCCAAAGGGTCATCCAAAAAGACGCACCTAAATAAATAAATAAATAAATAAAAAACGTCATTAACCATATCATGTTGATACTTGAATACCAGTAGCTATCTACAATGTACCACATGCTTCCCAAAAATTCCAAGCATGTGTTATGACAAGCTAAGCATATCTCATCAACCGAAAATAATGAAACCATGACATGATACTTAATGAAAGTACAATATCCACTGATGATATATATTGATCAAGACCATCTATATATGTATAACCAGAAAAAAAAAATCTTAAACATGTAATGCTCGTAGACACTTAGACATAGCTTATAGCTTGTAGAGAGACTGAACCCCTCATGTATCTTTTTCAACGACAACACACATTAACCAAATAATTATTACTAAAACAAATGCTCTAAACAATATTATAATATATATATTTATATGCAAGTAGAAAATTACAAAACTTGAGGGTAATAAATAGCCTAACTTCTACCAAAACTTTGAGACACCCTCTCGTAAATACAAAAAGATAATGGACACAAGGCCATTACCTTTGAGTTTGGCCAATAAATACATACATCAATACCTGGTTGTAGAATGTAGAGACCCTCTAAGCGACATAAATTCCAATAGCATTCTCCACATGCATCTTCAAAATTGAGATTTCTCGACTCTTTTCTTTCTTTAAGTATGTACAAGCCTTCACAACATACGCAAATTCCGAACCATAAAGATGACACGCCGAAGCTGCTTTGCAAGCTAAAAGCTCCACATTCCCTGTTCACAGTGTAACATGTCAATGTCAGGACAACACATAACATGATATAACAGGTTGTATTGTGTTTGTCAACTAGACAATAATTACAATTTTTTCTCCCACCCAAAAAAGGTGGGACAAGGACTCGCTCTCACTCTCAAAATCTCTAGTCTGTACAAAAAGACGTAAATGCCCTCCCTGTCCTCATCATTGAAAATGTTGTCTAGGGTAGTGGATACCTGAGGAAACTTCTGATGCGAGTATGGTTTGGGTGAAATGACGTGTCAGCCACCATCGACAACGTATTCTCCAATTCTTTCTTGATGTGTTATCTTTAAACATGTCAGGGGTATTCTTGGAATGTTTTCTGGAACTATCTTTGCCTTCACCCACACAGCTTGACATTCTGTCCTCGTCACATTGAGAAAGCCTTATGAAGCAAGAAGCAAACTCTCTCCAGATATTGCAGTCGGCATATGTGGCATCTAAATGCAAAGCAATCATTTCTACCAAAATTTCTGTATTGTAAAACCCTGGAAAATTATATAAAAATCAGACAAACAGGACTTATGATTTATAGCAATCTGGACAAAAAAACTCCAAGAAAATAAAAGGCTTTTTGATGACAAAAAGAGTCATAGAAAATACATTAATATATGCTACATGTGAAAGGAAAGGTTCAAGATGATAACATACCATCATGATGAAAGCTTATTAGCTTTGAAAGTGAGTGGCTACAAGTTGGATCCTTTTTTAATGTCTCCTCAAAGCATGCACACAATTTGGTTGCATCCTCATTGGAAAAATGCTCCTGAAGACTAGCTTTTAACCTTCATCATTAGAAAAAAAAAAAAAAAAAAAAAAAAAAAACTTAATTAATAAAAAGTTGCAAAAATTAATCGACATAATGAACCAACTTGACACTTAAAACCCTAACATTAAGTTCTCGGCTCTCACAAATAAAATAATAAAAATGATCACCTAAAAGGAAGTGTGGCATCAGAAATTTGAACAACACTTTCCACCTCTTCTATAGCTTCCTTCACTTGATCCCCAAACAACAGCATCTGACAAAATGGAAGGTGCAATTTTAGTTATATTTGAGATAAATTAGAGGGTTAAAATTGTCATTTTGCTGTTTAACTCCCTAATCTTTTAATTGTATCCAATAGGTCATTAAGCTTCTACTGTGGCAGACAGTTGGCGAAACTGTTTACATTTTATATATGTATAGGGCACCCATTCTTGTCATTGTCTCCAACTGTATGCCACGTAGGATGCCATGTCAGAGTAATTACGGGTTTACCAGGTTAAAATTGGTCCCAATGGTGTAACTGAAAACACATTAGATGTTTAATGACCAATTGAAGACAGTTAAAAGATTAGGGACTTAAATAGCAAAATGGCAATAGTTTGTGGCTAAAAAGTGACATTAACCCTAAATTAGAAAGTGAAGAGAAATGCTGCTTGCCTGTATGAGAGGAAGTAAAGCCTCAAAAGCTGGTGGAGTAGAATGAAGAGCACCTCTTAAATGCTTCACTGCAGCCTTATAGTGATCAGTGTGTATTCTCTTTTGAAAAGAGAGAAAATCCTCAAGTTCATTTGTGCTTGGAAATCTCAAAGGCATCAAGAAATTTTCAACATCTGTACAAGTATAAACCAAAATAATTCTTCAATGATTGAATTTTATTCAATAAATGTTGTACAATCAAACCCCTATTACCTACCACGAGCATAAAATATAGAACCATATCGCTTGTTGCCAGTATGAGGGAATTGAGAAGAGTTGTCAATTTGATCACTCTCAAGAGAGTTCAAATGTAGTTCCTCATATTGCATTTCCTTTTTCACATTATAATCAACCTCCATTGGAACTACTCTATTTCCATCAATTGTTTTGCCAATTCTGATGGAGGTGTTTGAATCCCTTTCGAAAGCGGAATCGGAATCTTGGACTTCAACCACACATTGTCCATTGGAATGGTCAATTCCGGACATTCCTGACTGAATGGAAGTAGAAGGTTCAAGTGAATCCTGTAATTGCATCTCTTTTTTAATGGAATTGTACCATAGATGAGAAAAGGCTAACCCCGCAACCAAATTTGCTATTGGGTCACTTGTGAAGTCTGTTTCTTGCAGAAAACTGATAGAAAACTATTTAGTTTGATTAGAATTTACAATAAAGCCCTTATATATACAGACTAAAGAATAAAAAGAAAGGTACATGACAAAAATAACCTTATAACAGCCTGGTAAGCTCCATCTGAGTCACCTTGTGAAAGACAGTAAAGGAGGAATTCTAACTGTACATCAAACCTACCCTGCCAAAAATCCAAAACTTCAATAAGGGCAAAAGATAACATATTTATATAAAACGTATGTATCAAGACTATAGATACCTTTAACCACCGCCTATTTTTTGTAATTGCAAAATTCTTTTTCATCCATATTTCGTATAAATGATGGATTTTTCTTGTTTTTGTTTTTGCAGATCCCATGTGTTCTAAAAGAGCCAATGTAGCCTACATTGCAAGTGCATAAACAAGTAATTACTCAAGCAGCAATGACATAGGTTAAACTAAAAATAAGAGAATATTTAGAAAACTAGGCAATGGTGATCAACAATTGTTTCATCTATATATGATGCTGCTATAGTTGCATAAAGAATATGACAGGATAGAAACCATTCAAGGTGCTAAAGGAACAAACAGCTACCAAATTATGGGGGAGTACTGGAAGTCAAGAGAATTCCTACTAAACACTAATAATAGTACGTTTCTAGTTGATTAGATCAAACTCAAAATGCATCTCTGATTTCCAAGAACATGCATTCTTACTAAATTGAGGAAGATTAGGCGTAAAGGTACATGGTTTACAATGTGTACAGCCGCCTTCTACGAGTTAAATCAATTGCATTCGGCTTGAATCTTGGATCATGGGATGTATTAAGTTGATTAAGTTAAAGTGTATCTGTAATTTCTTTACAAAAGGCAAATGAATATACCCAATATTTAGTCCGATTCGTCGATAAACTGTTCTCCCTGTGCGTCCCCTTCAACAACACGCTCAACACACCGGACGCTTCATCCCAATTTTGACGCCGAATCAGTTGTCGAAGAAGGTATCGCAGTTTATTCCGATGTTCCCACCGCAAACTACGCATATCTCGCCCTGAGCCTCTCTTTAAAGTATACGAGGGCTTCGTTACAGATAATATGATTCTTTTAATGTTCCTCTTCCTCGATGATGCAACGACGACGGCGTCATCGATCTTACTCCGATTCGCCTTCGTTGCTTTTCTCTTTTTCAGTTTGTTAACGTCTTCGTCTTCATCGATTTCCATGGAAAGGTCCATTGGGTATACCAGTTCGTCAATACGTAGGGCTATCGCATTCTGTAGTTCAGATAGTTCGCAGGCGAGG